AAATAATGGTGGTTATAATGATGATGATACAGCTACTACTGCAACTACTACTCATCTACTACTTTGCTTTTACTACTACTCCCATACTAATACTACTTCTACCACTTCTACTACTACTACTGCTGCTACTACTTTTACTACTACTACTACTACTACTACTACTACTACTACTATTGCTAACTTTGATAATGGTAATAGTAATGCAACTACTACTGCTGCTGCTACTGCTACTACTACTACTACTACTGCTTCCACCACCACCAATACTGCTACTACTACAACTGCTACTTCTACTACTTCTGCTACTATTACTGCTACTCTTCTACTACTACTACTACTTCTACTACTCCTACTACTACTACTGATGATAATAATGATTATGATGATGATATATGATAACAAAAATAGTAATTAATATAATAATAATAATAATAATAATTAATAATAATAATAATAATATAATAATTTAATAATAATAATAATAAATAATGATATAATAATAATAATAATATAATATAATAAAATGATGATGATGATGATGATAATGAAATATATTAATGATAATAAAATAATATAATAGGATAATTAATAATAAATATTAATAATATAATAATGAATTTCATTATTTCATTATTATTATATTTCACATTCATAATATGATAATAACAAGATAATATGTGATAATAAAGCATGGTGATGATGATCTGAAAGACAGAGAAATAATGGTAATAATATGAATGAATATAATAATGTAATTAATTAATAATTAATAATATAAAATAAAAACTCAGAATAAAAAACTACAACAACATTGAATAATCAGGAATAATAAATAATCAAAAACAATAACGAATTTATAAAAATCGATGATAATAACAAAAACAACAAAATAATGAATAAATAGATGATTATAATGATAATGAAATATGACAAAAGAATATATTTATAATTAATATGAAATAAAACCTAGCATAACCCTAGTCCCAATAATCCAGACACCATAAACATATCGATTATATTAATTCAAGACTACAAAAATAATGATTTAATAAAATAAACATAATGATAATAAAATAAATAACAATAACCAATAATAACGATAACAATACATAAAACAGCAATAATGATGACAATATATATAATCTAATAACAAACAAAATAACTGATAATAATTAATAACAATGCGAATGAAGCAGTGATATACTGAAAATGATGATAAAATAACAAGATGACTATTAATATATGATTTTAACAGTTATTACTAATTTAATACTAATAATGATTACAATTATAATAATGATTTAAAATTTTAATGTTTGTGGAAATGGTTATACTGATAATCATGATGAAAATCGGAACCATGATCATAAAAATAATAATATTTACAACAGAAATAATGATATTTATATTAAGAGACATAATGTTAATGGTAAAAAAATAACAATTATAATAAAATTCATAATAATCATAATGATGTCATGTCGATGACAATAAGGAGAGTAATGATGAAAACAATGCTAATGATGATAATAACATAAAGATAATCATAATGCTAATAATATTATAATAATGTTAATAAATAAGGATAATAATATAATAAAAGATAATAATGATAATAATGGTAATGATAATAATGACAATAATAGTAATACTAATAGTAATAATAATAATGATAATGATAACAATAATAATAATGATGATGATAATAATAACAATAATATTATATAATAACCATAATAATGATAATAATCAATAATGATATAATGATAACAACAACAATAATAACAATAATAGAAATAATAAAAATAATAACAATAATAATTATTATTACAATAACAACAATAATAATAATAACAATATAATACTACTACTACTGTTACTACTGGTAATATAATATAATTTTTATCATTAAAGTGCATTAAGAACATTAAGACTGACATGTTGGCTAACAGGTTGTTAAATCTTTGAGGAACATCATAGTAGACATGTAATAATAATGATAATAATAATAACAATAATAATAATAATAATAATAATAATAATGATAACAATAATAAAATTATAATAAAATAGTAATAATGATATGATGATGATATTGATGATGGATGTATGATGATGATGATGATGATGATGATGATGAATAATGATAATGATAAATAATAATAATAATAATAATAATGATAATAATAATGATAATAATATTATTATTATTATAATAATTATAATAATGAGGATAATAATGATAGAATAGATTATAATAATACAATAATAATAGTAATAAGAAGAATGATGATAACAATAACAAATAATATAATAGCAATAACAGTGATAATATAATGATGATAATGATAATAACAATGATAAAAAGTTAGTAGCTGTGACAATAATGAAATAATAATAATAATAATGAAAATAATAATAATATTAATAATCATACTACTACTACTAATGATAATGATAATAATGATAGTGATGATGAGAGTAATAATGATAATAATAA